GAGAGATTGAAATACGGGAGACTCCCAGGAAAAATTGGAATGTTGGCAGGTATGACTTAAGGTCTTATTATATTCAGGGCAAATTGTTTTTGCTGTTAGTTTAGGGGTAAAAAGAAGTTGAGAAACTTGAGGTATGCTGTAAGTCAGGGGTGTGCAAAGTCGGTGCTGGGGGCCCGGTGTCCTGCAGATTTTAGCTCCAACTTACCTCAACACACCTGCAAGGATGTTTCTAGAAAGCCTAGTGAAGCTGCGGTCACATTATAGTATATAATGCGATAATAATGCGAAATTCTAGACAAGAATAACAAGATTATTAGGCATTAAAAAAAACGAGCGATTGCTCCATGTTTTAAATTTCTGTCCAGAGAGGTTATGTTTTGATCCGCGGTTGGTTTCACGCAGTCAAGTGATGTGATTTCGCAGGTCAGAGTTCACCAAGCTTGAACTTTGCACCGCACCAACCTGCGAAACTTAACGCATGAAACTGCTTTTCCAGTCTGACGCATTCGCGTGCGTATGAATGGAAGTCTATGGGAGGAAAAGCCCAGTGTGAGCGCAGCTTAAGAGCTTTATTAGCTAGCCCAGGTGTGTCTGATTGGGGTTGGAACTAAACTCTGCAGGACACCAGCCCTCCAGGACCGAGTTTGGACATGCCTGCTGTAAGTGAATATGAATACAATGAACATGCAAATTGGTCTTGCATGTTCTCCTAAAAGAAAATGTTAAAATCACCATACAACTGAAATAACAGTGCTGAAAAAACAGCCGTTAAAAAAAAAAAAAGAAAAAAAAAAGCATCTGGTCAAATAACATCAAAACGAATATTTATATAAATAAATAACTTCAAGGGTATTCGTGATTTAGAATATTTATTACAGTATTTTATTAGAATATTAATTATTGTTGTTATTACAACCCCAAATCAGAAAAAAAGTCATTTTGGAGCAAAAACAGGCAGAGGATTGCCTGTTTGCCAACAAATACATGAGATGATACATTGAAATGTTTAAAGAAAATGTTCCTCAAAAAAAAGATAGGAATGCGTTTGCATATTTCACCATCAACCGTGCATACCATAATTAAAAGATTCAAGGAATCTGGAGGAATCTAAGTGGTTAAAGGACTAGGCTGCAAGCCTAAGCTGAACTACCGTGATCTCCGATCTCGCAGGCAGCACTGCATCAAGAATTGTCCTTCATTTATAAACAATGTCAAATTACAGGCTCAGCACCACTTTTGCAAACCTTTGTCAAGAACCACAATACGTAGCTACATCCACAAATGCCAGTTAAAACTGCACCTTGCCAAAAGGAAGCCCTATGTTAACACTGTTCAGAAGTGCCATTGATTTCTCTGGTCTCGAAGTCATCTTGCATGGACCATCACACAGTGGAAACATGTACTGTGGTCAGATGAATCAGTATTTCAGGTGTTTTTTTTGTTTTTTTTTAATGAAACTGGACACCGTGTGCTCTGGACCAAAGAATAAAAGGATCATCCAGACAGCTACCAGCAACAAAGGTAACTTGCACCACTGTGATGGCACCATTATTGCTAAAAAGTACACAGATTTTGGAGCACAATATGCTGCCTTCTTTTCCAGGGACAACCATACATCATTCTGCACACATTACAAGTCCTGGCTGCAGAGGAAGAGTATACAGGTACAGTACTTGACTGACCTGCCTGCAGTCCCGACCTGTCTCCCATAGAGAATGTATGTTGCATTTTGAAGTACAAAATACGACAACGAAGACCCCGTACTTTTTCCCACATTAAGGGCTCTATTTTGACGGTCCATGCGCAAAGTGCAAAGCGCAGGCCGCAAACGCTTTAAGGACGTGTCAGAATCCACTTTTGCTGATATAAAAATGGACAAATCCGCTTTGCGCAGTGGCGCATGATCTAAAAGGGTTGAGTTTATTTTCTTAATGAGTTATAGGTGTGTTTTGAGAATAAAACAATCAGAGTCTCATCTCCCATTCCCTTCAAGAGCCAGTTGCGTCGCCCCATAAGCACATTTGCTATTTACATAACAACTTTGTCAGTGGAATGTTTCACTAGCAAGAAAACAGTTAAACAGAGCATCTGCAGCACGAGAATGAGAGATAAGGCATCTCATAATCTACTTTCACTTTCGCTCTCGTGGATAGGGAAACCTTTTACGCACAGACATCAATTAGCCTATAAATAATTAACTTATTTTGTTAAGCGCAAAGATTTGTTTCAAAACTATTTTTAAATACAGTTCTAATTTCCAGCAAACGAATAAATGAACAATAATAATGAAGTGTGGTCCTAAAACTGAGTTATATCCAAATACACATGCTGTGTCCCATATGGTCTGAAATCTGACAGGTGGACAAATCTAAGCTTGTTTCTAATAAAACAAATATAAATATGGATATAATAAATAATTCTGCTAATAATGATAACATTATACAAATGCAAATTGTTATGAATGAACTGAAAAAGCACCCCCCCACCCCCAGAAATGATGGCATGACGGCAGTGGTTTTTACATTTATGTAGGCTAGAATAATATGTTTTGTAATATTTTAATCCTTTATATTTATATTCTATATACATCCTTATTAAATCCTTAATATTTTAATTCTTTTTCATATGTAAAGATATTTGCGTATTGCTCTATATCTTGTGTGTATTAAGCAGTGTGTATGCGAGACGCACAACTAACGCGCTCTGCGCTGGACAATAGACTGGCTTTGTTCTGGTCTATTGAAAAATCTATTATAGTTTCTCAAAATACCAACGTGCCAGCAATGCGCCTCAGAATGCCTTCCTTTTTAGACCAGAACGCCTATGGGCGCACATATGAGCGCAAATGCATTTGCTTTTTAAACAGCGTTGCGCAAAACGTCAAAACAACTCTTGCGCCAAGGTGAAACTAGCAAACAACTATTGCATCGCGCCTTGCGCCACATTGCGCCAGGTGTATGATAGGGCCCTAAGACTTGTTTGCAGGAAGAAAGGAACAAAATTATACCTGAAGCACTTCATCAATTGCTGTCTTCGGTCCCTAATTGTCTCTTAAGTCTTTAAGTGCAACAACTAAAATTGGAATACGTGTTTACTTAAAAACATATAATATATATAAATCATGAGGAACAGATAAGGTTTGTTTTATTGTCTGTAATGTAATACAAGTCAAAGTAAATTTAAAAATCACTACTTTTTTTATGTGTTTTCCATACTTTCCCAACTTTTTCTGATTTGGGGTTGTATAATTATTATTCACTATGTTTTATAATGACTGATAATTATTATATGTTAAACTGTATATGACAACATGTGAATCTATGTGAATATTTTATTCAGGTGCGACTAAGATTGAGTACTTAATGGACTCAATAACAAATGCATGGCAATATGACAGTTGCTCATTATATATAGATGCAAAAACCTTGCTTGCCTAATAGCAGAAAAAAAGGTGCTCAAGCACTGTGAGCATGCAAAGACTACTATGCCAAATTGATCTGTTTGATCAATGTGTCAGGTGTTTGTGCTGATGCATTTGTACTGTGAGATAAAAAATGTGTGAGAAGAAGAAGTGTCCAATTTTAACTTCATATGGGCTCACACTCTTATAAACAGGAAATGGGCCCATTAAAATTGTGCTTTAATTACATCTACCCCTACCCCAACCCTAGACCTAACAGAGTAGGGTAATAATTACGGGTAATAACCGCTGTACAGTGTCACAAAAATCATACTATAGGTGGTTAGTACTGTCGCCCCACAGGAAGAATGTCACTGGTTTGAGTCCCAGCTGGCCAGTTGCCATTTCTTTATAGAGTTTGCATGTTCTCTCCATGCATGTACGCACTGGTTTCCTTTGGGTGATCCGGTTTTCCCCACAGCCCAGTGCATTTTAATGATAAAATTCTGGAAACCACAATTCTACAGATTTTTATTATTATTTTATTTTATTTTTATTTTTTTTTAGGTTTGCAGCTTTTAAAAACAAACGTTAAAGCCCATTATTGAAATGTGAAAAAAAATTAAATGATAAATCAGAAGATTTTTACAAAATTCTCCACAGAAATAGCAAAAAAATGTCCGCGGATTCTGTCTGGCTCTAGTTAGCAATAATATCAGATGTGTGTATAGTGGCCTAATAAAATGCATGCCATTTAAACGGCAGTAATGCAGTCGAAGACCAAGCGGTGAAATCGGACGCGCTCGTTTGTGTTACCGCTCATTAACTGAGCGCATCCGTGACGTCATAATGCACCGCGGTGCTCCTCCGTTAAGACTTTAACGGGTCCGCGCGCACGGGGAGGACATTAACGCCATGCACACCGCTGCTGCATCGGCTCTATAAATAGAAACATGCAGCAGAATGGACTGCTGCTATTTACGGCGCTGCGGAGGAACGCTGTTCAAAGCGGGTTCTGCAATTATAGCGTTGTTTCTCGTTTGAAGCGCGCAAGGATGCGTCAGTTTGCGTCGGAAGAAAAAGTGCGAATTCCTATCAAATAATCAAGCACAGTTGCGAAACACACAATTTGCTTTCCGGTGTGATCAAGTAGGTCTGGGCTGGTGACAAGCAGCTGATGACCCATCTAAGCACATCCAAAGACTCCTCTAAAAAAAATCCATAATCACAGCCACAAATAGACGCTCCCTGTGGGACAAGCCGCCAAATATTAAAATGTAACCTATTTGTGAGCATTTGAAGCAGGACGGCGAGCCGCTAAAGTGTGACAAATTGCAATTTCAAGGCGGAATTGCAATGCGCTTTGACATTTAAAGCAGCAAGGACATTTGTTAAATATTTAATTCACATAAATGTCACCTTTCGCAGTATGACTGCTCGTTTAGTTTTGGGCATTTCCAAAAGCAACGTTGAGAGCTGCTGAGTTTATCCTGTGCGGTTTGGGCAAATTACCTGCACGTGCCGCAAACATACCCTAATTAAAGAAGCCTCCGCAACCCCATTTAACCGTGAAACATTTTTGCTCTTAAAAACACCTTACCGTTTTGAGCGGAGCCCGAATGCAGCATCAAGACTCCGACTAATATCACCAATGGATTCCCGGCGAAAGACATTTTTCTAGGTCGTCCGTGGACCCGGAATATGTGTGTGAGGGATGCGGAGGAGAGGGAGAAGAGAAGAGGTGCTGCCGAGGAGGATGGGAGTGGAGCGGAAGCTGCTACAATGACGAGCGACCCTGGATGGAGCTCGAATCGGGTCACGCAAAAAAGCCCGTCGCCTAGCAATAGCGAACACGGTAAGTGGATGCCGCCGCTACGCTTACATCCGGTTTAAAACGAGGCTTGTAAAGACTGTGGCGCTGTACTCTTAATCCCGCGATAGCACACACACACACGCGCACTCCTGCCTACATGCCGGAAAGGTGGACGCAATCCTCAGGTGAATTTGAAATACGTGTAGGAGTTTCGTGGAGAAAATGGACTCGTTTGCTCTTTATTTATTGATTGATTTATTTATTTTTAAATAAATAGGCCTATCCTACTATAAATAGAAGCTTGCCGCAAGAAAACAAGATTCGTGACTAATTGTGTTACAGTTTTTTTTTTTGTTTGTTTGTTTTTTTGCAGACTGCGAAGCTGGCCCATTTAATGTTATTCACAGACACAAAGCAAGCACATAAATTTACATTATTGTAGTAGACTAAAGCTAAACATTAACTAGCCTAAATAGCATCACATGTAAGGGTATTTCTTCAACTTTATGTCCTTTGATCATAGCTTATATCCAAAAATATATAGCCTATAATTTTGTTCAAATTCCTCTTTCTTTGTCAAACTAACAATAAAATCTACTTTTAAAAAATTACTAACTTTCTAATATGTTTTATTTTATTTTCATGTTATTCAACCTCCTTTTAGGTGTCAAAATCACTGTTTTCACCTTGTCGCACACCCAGAGTTTAAACCTTCAACAATGAAAATAACATTTTAAAATATTATTTATCTGGTATCTATTAATGTATCCTTATTAAGCACTAGTGAAATAATTTAAATATTTTATAGTTATTAATGTGAGACTATTATCATTATTATTTTATACAAAATATAGCTGCCGCACAGTATCAGTGTCATTTCCACCGCTACACTGTAATGTCGCTTTAAAAAGTTTGTGTAATAGATTGTTTGGGGGGTTTCTATGAAAATGAGTATATCTGAGCACATCTACAAGATCTTCAAAAATATTATCAACAACACTTGAAGAAAAATCAGGGTAAATATTGCTTGATAAGAAAATACACTTTTTCTGCATTTACGAATTTACGAACATGTTGTACCTTCAAAGATTTTTTTTTAAACCAAACAAAATTAAGGTAAATAAGAGTGTTTTGTAGACATAAAAGGCTAGTATCAATTCAAAGCTAATCAGTGAAGCTATTTTTCATTTTTTCATAATAAACTGTTGAAATGTTATTTTTATCACACATTTTTAGAAAATAATAAAAAGTTCTCATCACACATTAAAAGTGTATTCACAATGTACAAGTTCAGGCTAATATACAAATTCAGTTTATTTATTTTCTAATAAGCTCTCAACGAAATTTATATTAAATTTTAGAGTATGACAGGTGTACTATTCAGCATACAACTAATTTATTTCATTGACGAATGTATAATTATTATTATATATATTGACAATGTTTGACTGCCATAATTCATTTCATTTTGAAATAAAAGCCGTATATCGAGATGTGGTGGATTTGACATTTGTTCAGTTCACGATGGAAAAAATGTTTCTTTTCTTATCTAAGTTTGTTCTCTTACTGATCTTAAAACTAGACAAATTGTTTACACTTATGAGGCTTTGTTACATTACTTTAAAATGTTTTTTTTTACTCGACTACACAAGGCTAAAAGTGCTCATAGTGTAAGAATGGCCTGTAAATACTCAAATGCAACAGAGTAATTAAAATAAATGAGATAGCTTGTGAAAGAAATACTAGAATTCTTATTTTAAGTAAGTTACATTTTAATTCATATACTTTCAACTCATAAGAACACATTTATATATATACTTATAATTTAGTCACCAAAATATGTTAAAGTGGAGAGTGGGTATAGTTGCAACAAGACTTATTCCTTCATTCAGGAATGAGCTATCTAGTGATGATATTCATTCTACATATTCTCAGTTAGACCCTCTATTAATCTTAGAGAAATCAGCCATATGTGACCATTCCTTCAGTATAAAAAATGTTTTAAGGTAAACCTTTAAAGGTTCAGTACAGATTTTCAGTAAAAATAATATTTTGTTAAGTTTTTTTTTTAGATTTGATAATTGGTTGTTACTTGATCTTTTAATTGTTTGTATTTTTATGGTCAATTTAACACATTTAACAATTGAAACAATTTACATTTTAGTCAGTTTATTATTCATTTTAATGAATGTTGCAACCGGGGTGATGCAGTTGCGCAGTAGGTAGTGCTGTCGCCTCACAGCATGAAGGTTGCTGGGTCGCTGGTTCGAACCTCGGCTCAGATGGCGTTTCTGTGTGGAGTTTGCATGTTCTCCCTGCATTTGCGTGGGTTTCCTCCGGGTGCTCTGGTTTACCTCCCAAGGTCCAAAGACATGCGGTACAGTTGAATTGGGTAGGCTAAATTGTCTGTAGTGTATGAGAGTGTGTGTGTGTGGATGTTTCCCAGAGATGGGAAAGAAATGGCAGGAAGGGCATCCACTGTGTAAAAACTTGCTGGATAATTTGGCGGTTCATTCCGCTGTGGCGAGCCCGGATTAATAAAGGGACTAAGCCGACAAGAAAATTTATGAATAAATGTTGCCACTGTCCCCATGCTTAGATTCAGTTGCAATGTTTGACTAGTTTCAATTCTGCATATATTATCATGTGTACACTTATTATAGCTATGTGGGTGGGTGTCTGATAGATGTGGGTTTATTATATTATGATTTTGGGTTTCCACAAAAAATTGTATCTGAGAAACTGAATGAAATGCAAAAAGTGTTGCAACTGTCCCCACTCTCTCCTATCTAAAGTAGGCCTATAGGCCTAAAACTGTTTTGTTAAAAGATCTGATTTATAGGCCTATAAAAAACAAATACTCTTTAGGAGATTTTAATTTAATTACAATTTTGAATTTTTTTGTATTACTTTTTTTTTTTGGTATTTTTATTATCAAATGAAAGATTATTTATAGTTTTGTATAATTTGTTATTATTATTATTTGTTTTTTATTTTGATAATTCCATTAGATCGTTGCAGCAGTTATGTTATTATTCATTAAATATGTACACAAAGACATCACCAATATGCAATAAAATTGCAGGTTAACTATGTCTGTATATAATAACTTATATTTGATTGTAACTTTAACTTAATTTGATTGTAACGCAATAATGTGCACCTTTTGTAAAACCGCTTTGAAACAGTAGTTATTGTAAAAAGCGCTATACAATTGCACTTTAATTATTGCAGTTAGCTTTAACTGTTTGTATGTGAGTGTGTGCGTGCGTGTGTGTATAAAAGCAATTCCATGCAAATGTCAACCTGGCCATGAAAAAAATAAAGTTTTCACCAAAATATGGAAGCCATTGCTAGGTTTTTTGTGGAGGCTTGTATTTTACAGCACTTTAGAAATACTCAAAAATCAATGTTTTCAAACAATTATATTTGATTTACCAAAGTCACACAAATGGCAATTTCACATCGGTCACATCCATAACGTAGAGATTTCACATCCATATCGGCACTTTTTCCTCATATATGTCAAATCAAGTAAATTCAATCATTTTTGTTTTATGGAAAGGCATATTTTATCCTTTTGATTACTATTGTTTCTTTTGGTTTGCGCAGTTTAATTCACAGAATTTCTACAAAGTATGTTGTATACTGCAAACTCGCATACTTTTACTTTTTAACGCATTTTTATTTTCCACATTTAAAGTACAAAAAATGTTTACAGACTGATATTTTTCTCTTAACCAGAAAACCCCCTCTGTGGTCAGTTGTTCTTGAAAGTATTAATAGATGTTTCAATAAAATGTTAACATACTTTCTATGTGAATGTATGTTTTGAGTTTTTACAGCAAGTGTTACATCCATTACGCTGGAATATGTATATGTATTTTAATTTTTTTTGGCTTAGTCCCTTTATTAATCAGGGGTCGCTGTAGTGGAATGAACTGTCAACTTATCGCATGTTTATTGTATATGTTTTACGCAGCGGATGCCCTTTCAGCAGCAACCCATCACTGGGAAACATCCATACATACTCATTCACACCCTACAGACAATTTAGCCAACCCAATTCACTTACAGTGCATGTCTTCGGACTTGAGGGGTAAACTGGAGCACCAGGTGGAAACCCACGCCAACACGGGGAGAACATACAAACTCCACACAGAAACGTCTACCGACTCAGCCGAGGCTCAAACCAGAGACCTTCTTGCTGTGAATCAAACATGCTACCCACTGCGCCACCATGCAGGCCTATATATATATATAAATTTAGTAATACTGAATTCACTCAATGTAAGATGATAAATTATTTATGCATGATAGAATGTTTTTTTTCTAAAAATGTATCATCTTACATTGCTTAGTTTATTGAAGGGGTGTCAAATTTGGTTCCTGGGTCACTGCCCTGCACAGTTTAGTTCCGACCCTTTTTGGTTTCAACACATTTTCCTGCGGGTTACAAACAGGCCTAAAGGACGCTGCAGCCTTTCAAGAACTGAGTTTGACACCTGTGGTTTCTTTCATTCAGATTAAACAGTCTATCACTGCCACACTGATCATGTGCCAGCATTGCCATTCTCTGACAAAACAAAGCACTTATAACAAAACTAATTTCCCAACATTCTTCTAATTTGTATCAAGTGGAGAGTGAAAAAATGATGGCAGAAATGTATTTTTGGTCAATTGTCCCTTTAACCTGTGGTTTTTATTACAGTCTCATGCCATCTATTGGACATAGGAAGTACTGCTTCAGCAGAATAGTATTTCATTTACTCCCTTTAATAAATGTTATTAATATTAATTAAATGTTAGTGATGTTAACAAAATAGAGTGCTGGAGTCCTGACGTTAAAAGCCAGATGACCATCTGCTCCCTCTAGATTTTTCCCTATAATGGTGTTTTTTATTTAAGTCATATAAAGTCT